AAGGAGCCCGGCAGACCGAAGGCAGGCTGGGAGCTCCGGAGCCCGGCGGGAAGCCGGGTGGTTAGAGCCTGGTCGTGGCCAGGAAATGCAGTTCTACCAGCGAGGTGGGGGGCAGGTTTCAGAGCTGAGGGCAGAGGAGTGAACCCAGCCCTTGATTTTCTGGGAGTCAGGAGGTGAACTGAAGGGCCGATGGATCGGGGAAGTTTGGCGAGGGATTTGGGCAGGAATGGGTGTCTGGTCGGCGAAGACACAAATGGAGGGATGGGACCGGGTCGGGTGTCCTGTCTGGATCACGAAGTTCTACCTTCGCCTAGTTTTCCTGTCCACGAGGGGGTGGGGAGGGAGGGGCTGTGGCATGTGGTAACTTCCAGCGCTCTCAGGTAACTCAGAGCACTGTTACTGTGGAAGGCCCACCTGCTCTGGACAGGCCTTCCTCTGCCTGAAGCTATGTGGCCTGAAGTCCCAAAGCGTCACGTGTGAAAAGGAAATTAAAAACAACTTGCAGGGTGTAATGAAGGATATCTAAACCGGTGTGTGGAGGCACCGTGGACCCACTCTACTTTTTTCTTTGCCCCAGGAACTTAAAAGCTTTAAAATACTTCACTTGGGGGAAATGCGACCTTTAATAATTAGTTGTCCAGAGAGTAAAAATCATAAGTCCATTCTCACTCATGGATATTTACAGGTATTTTCATTCTGGTTTTTGTCTCATATTCACATATTTCACCTCTAGAAAGAGTTGGATTTCACTGCCCCCAGAGTTGGGAGTCAACTTTACCACTGTCCCCCAGAGTAACAGGTGAGCTAGGTATGAGTGCTTCCTTACTCAGGTGTGGGGAGAAAAACTTGTGAGTGCATAAATCATGGCGGACGGGAGCCAGCTATCTTCAGATTATTTATATAAATGCCCCTGGTTGGAATTAATATTTCTGTGTATTAGGACAGCCTGTTTGCTTATTTATAGTAATTCAAAACTATGTTCTAAAAGACAGAGGGGGTGGGGCAGGCATAGGTGATCTCATTCCTCTCTGAAAGATTAATAAAACTTCTCGTACAATATTGTCTGACTTACCAATTATTTGATCCGTTTGCAAAAGCACAAATGTTTTAGCATGGGTTCTCTAATGGGCAGTAGACAAAAATCCACAGAGGTGACTTCTGGTGAGTGTTAACACTGCTCTCCAGGTTCGCTTTGAAATTGTTTTTCTGTGAAATAACTGCACTCTGCCTTACTTTGGTGTTTTCTGTCCTACTGGTATTTTGTAAACTGGTGCTGCAGAAAAAGAGCTTGAATGGCAACATGATGAAGGATTTCTCCTCGTCTTGATTTGCAGCACCCACAGTTCCTTATCTTCAGATTCTCTTATCTTGAGATTCCCTTATCAGATAGTAGGGAAGGAATGAGTGGGGAGATGTTTGAAGACTTCAGGGGCAGCCTCCAGACACAAAACCAGAAATCCATATCTTTGATCCTGCCTGACAAAACTGAGAATCTGTTTTCTCTCAGTTCCTCTATCTCCTCCCTCCCCAGCCAGTTGAAATCTGCAGTGGAGGTCACTGGAGTTCTAGGATGATCTGGATCAGTTGAAGCCTGACAAGTCAAGAGTTTACGAATGTTTAACTGAGGTCAAAAATTTGGAGAAACTCTTGTAATAGGTTTATAACGTTTTAAAGCTTTTCCTGGGGAGTTTCAAGGCAGTTCTGAATCTCATGGCTTTCCCATGGTTCTTTAGGGCAACATGATGGTGAGGTGTCTTGGACAAGATTAATCTCACTTTGCATGTGGGAAAACAAGCCCAGGAAAGCAGAACTTCATGTTCACACCGAGGGCTGGAAAACATGTTAGCCAGAGTCCACAAATTATTAAGTCTTCCTCTTGGTATTTCACGACCAAAACATTTCATCCATGGTCACAGCTCCTTCAAAGGGTATCTCCGTGGTGGCCTTAACCTTTGAATCCCTAAGACCTCAGGGGAAGTTTTGTTGTTCTGTTGTCGTTGTTGTTTGCTTGCTTAACAAATAATAGTTGCCAATATGTCCAAGGTGATGTGAGGGGTTGGGTGAGAAAATGAAGCCTATTCATTTTTATTGCTGGGACAAAACCAGCAGGGAGGTAATTTCTGAAAAGGTCATGTTAGCATCAGTGCAGGCATCAAGAAGGATTTGGTGGCAAGGTGATGACCCTTTTGTTGAGTTAGTATTAAAGGAAAGTACCTGACTGAAGTTGAGCTACTTTACCTTTCTGAGCTCCAGATTCCAAGTATGCAAAATAGCCCATCCATCTCCTCACAAGAAACTCCAGCTCCCTGCACTTTTTGTATTCTCCAACTCGGGCCATCTCAGAACTCCTCCCTTTTGTACATTCTGGTTCCTGTCCCTGGAATGCATTTCCTC